AGTGATATTTGTCTGGTAAGGGTGAGGTTCCTGACCTGTGAGATGTCTGCATATTACATCTAGGGCATTTATCATTTGTGTTTCTGTGCCTTTTTAAATGAGTGTTTGTTTTAGGCACTGCCCCTTAATTAGCCACACCCTCTTTGCTGTGTCATGGTCCAAGCTCCACCCTCAGACGCCAGATGCATTTGTTTCGTAGGATGATTTCTTGCTGTGGGGGTGGGGATTATTTAATAGGTGCAACCACAAATCACGTTGTCCCCGGTAATTGCAGTGAGGAGATGTGTGGTTGCTATGGATTATGGCAACAATGATCAAATAATTAGGGTTTTTGATTTTTCGTAGTTCTGGTAACCTAGCTGGTAATGATGGAACTGTGGCCAATGTTAATATTGAATAAGTGGTCACAGGGCCAGGATTTCACCTCCATCATACTGTATGTCCTCCTGTATTCCAAACTTCCCCAGCAGTGTCATTATAGTTCAGAGTAGTAGAGGCAGAGAAATTTCCTGCTCTACCTCCCATCTCCACCTACTCCTGCCATTCCATCCCCTCCTACTCCTATCCCCCTCCTTTCTCTACCCCCCATCTCCACATACTCCTGCCATTCCATCCCCTCCTATCCCCCTCCTTTCTCTACCCCCCATCTCCACCTACTCCTGCCATTCCATCCCCTCCTACTCCTATCCCCCTCCTTTCTCTACCCCCCATCTCCACCTACTCCTGCCATTCCATCCCCTCCTACTCCTATCCCCCTCCTTTCTCTATTACCATCTCCACCTACTCCTGTCATTCCATCCCCTCCTTTCTCTACCCCCCATCTCCACCTACTCCTGCCATTCCATCCCCTCCTACTCCTATCCCCCTCCTTTCTCTACCCCCCATCTCCACCTACTCCTGCCATTCCATCCCCTCCTACTCCTATCCCCCCTCCTTTCTCTATTACCATCTCCACCTACTCCTGTCATTCCATCCCCTCCTTTCTCTACCCCCCATCTCCACCTACTCCTGCCATTCCATCCCCTCCTACTCCTATCCCCCTCCTTTCTCTACTACCATCTCCACCTACTCATGCCATTCCATCCCCTCCTACTCCTATCCCCCTCCTTTCTCTACCTCCCAGCTCCGCCTACTCCTGCCATTTCATCCCCTCCTACTCCTATCCCCCTCCTTTCTCTACCCCCCATCTCCACCTACTCCTGCCATTTCATCCCCTCCTACTCCTATCCCCCTCCTTTCTCTACCCCCCCATCTCCACCTACTCCTGCCATTTCATCCCCTCCTACTCCTATCCCCCTCCTTTCTCTACCCCCCATCTCCACCTACTCCCGCCATTTCATCCCCTCCTTCTCCTATCCCCCTCCTTTCTCTACTACCATCTCCACCTACTCCTATCCCCCTACTCCCATACCCCCCAACTCCAATCCCCACCTATTCTTCCCCCCCCTGCTTATTCTTATGCCCCCCTTCTCTTCCCATTCCCTCCTAATCCAATTTCACCCTGCCCCCAAGCCCCACACACTCCTGCCCTCCCCCTCCCCATCCCCTCCTACTCCTATATCCTCCTATTCTCTTCTCTCCCACCACCTACTGCCCCAACCCCCTCTTAAACTCATCCCCTTCTACTCTCAGCCTGCCTACCCACCATCATTTCCTGCCCCCTTCCCATCCCCACCTACTCCTACCACCCCCCAAATTACCTCCTACCCCTATCCAACCATTTCCTCCTACTTCTACCCCACTCCCCATCTGCTGCTTTATGGTAATTACACATACCCGGGAATTTCATACTTATAGTCAGCAATACAATGAGTGCCACCCCTGGCAACAATGCCAATCTACACCACAGCCTATGTCAGCTTTACAGACATTTAGCATGGAGTGCCTCATCTATTAGGCTGAATATTTAATATTCAGAAGGCATATAGGGCAGCACAGTAGCTAAATGGTTAGCACTTCAGCCTGGCAGTACTAGGGTCGTTGGTTTGAATCCCCACCACGGCACCACCTGCCTGGAGTTTGCATGTTCTCCATGTACCTGCGTGGGTTTCCTCTGGGTACTCCGGTTTCCTCCCACACTCCAAAGACATGCTGGTAGGTGACTTGGTTCCTTTCTAAATTGGCCCTAGTATGTGTATGTATGAATGTGAGTTAGGGACCTTAGATTGTACACCCCTTGAGGGTTAGGGACTGATGTGGATGTACAATATATATGTAAAGCGTTGTGTAAAATTGACGGCGCTATATAAGTACCTGAAATAAATAAATTTGTGTGAAGGTGAAAACGTCCCCCTGTGTTCCCCCCCCCCACTATAGGCTTCCTTGTGGATTCCCCCGCCCCCCCCATATTATCATGTGACCACCATGTCCCCACAGGTTGCCCCCACCCCCACACAAATTTTAGATGTGTCCCTTCTCTTTGTGGTCCCTCTGAGGACCTGACACTGGAGCTAGACAGACACCATGTTGATAAAGTCTCTTTATTTATAGCACAATATATACATAAACACCTCTATACATCTCTATAGGGCTCCAGTGTCCAGCTACGTCCCATTGGCTGCCAGCCATCACAGTTGGCGTTTGTTCTGGGTAACTGAGAGCCCCTCAGTTACCATGGTTACACGCTGACACTGGCAGGAATGCCATTGTTCTGAGGAATGTGCCCGCTCCCACCCTTGCAGATTAACCCAGTAGTTCCCAGTGGACAGTAACTGACAACCCTCTCCCAGTGACTATTTTCCATTTCCCCCATCACCTACTCATCATGACCGTCTGGCCTCTTCCCAGCGCCAGGAGTCAGATCGCAAACCACTAATAATGAACAATACCAGGATATTTGTAATTGATGTCTCGCCTGGTTATACGTCTTTCTGTGTGCGATGAAATTATGAGTAAAGAAAGTATAATCCAAAACCAGCCATAGTACACAACCATGATCCAACAACCAATCATAACCCACAACCAACCATAATACAACATTCAACCAAAATCCACCGCCAAAATTTGCAACCAACCATAATCCAACAACCATAAACCACAACGAACCGTAATTCTACAGCCATAATACAACAATCAACCATAATACAAAATTCATAATCTACAGCCAACCATAATTCAACAACCATCCATAACCCACAACCAACCATAATACAACAACAACTAAATTCTACAACCAACCGTAATGCAGCAACCAGTCATAATACACAACCATAACCTAACAATTATATCCTACAACCAACCAAATACAACAATCGGCCAATTACACAACCATAATCCAACAATTATAATCTACACCCAACTATATTCCACAACCATAAACTCACATTTACAATCTACACCCAACTATATTCCTCAACCATAATCTCACATTTAAAATCTACAACCAACTATATTCCACAACCATAAACTCACATTTAAAATCTACAACCAACTATATTCCACAACCATAAACTCACATTTACAATCTACACCCAACTATATTCCACAACCATAATCTACTGCCAGCCATACTACGCAATTATAATTCAACAACCAGTTATAATACACAACCATAATCCAACAATTATAATCAACAACCAACTATATTCCACAGCCATAAACTCAATTTACAATCTACAACCAACTATATTCCACAACCATAAACTCACATTTACAATCTACACCCAACTATATTCCACAATCATAATCTACTGCCAGCCATACTACGTAATTATAATTCAACAACCAGTTATAATACACAACCATAATCCAACAACCATAATCCTACAACCAACCATAATCCAACAACCATAAACAAAAAACCACAAATCCAACAACCAACATAATCCAACAATCATAATCCTAACAACCAACCAGAATTATCCAAACAACCATATCCTAAACAAAAACCATAATCCAACAACCATATCCTACAACCAACCAGAATCCAACAACCATATCCTACAACCAACCAGAATCCAACAACCATATCCTACAACCAACCATAATCCAACAACCATATCCTACAACCAACCAGAATCCAACAACCATATCCTACAACCAACCAGAATCCAACAACCATATCCTACAACCAACCATAATCCAACAATTAAAATTTACAACCAACTATAATCTACAACCTAAACCAACAACTATAATCCACAACCATAATCTGGTCATATGTATGTCCCTGTTAACCTATTGGGGACATTGGAGCGTGGGGTGGGCAAAGTTACAGTACTTCATACCTTTTAAATAAATGTTGGAATGTTGTTGCTGCAGGTAACACCTGAGCGGAGCTGCACTTGTACATTATCCGTGTGCTGTTTGGAGGGGTCATAGCTGCTGGGGTGTGACTTGATGCCCCTGTTTTGGGAGACAGTGATCAGTACCTTCCCTTCCCCCATCGTATGCGACAACCCCAAAACAAGTGGGTTATACAGAAAGTGGTGTGTTTCCAGTGTGCGCTACATTGGAGTACCTCTACATGAAGCATGATCCCCCCTTCAATCCATGTTACTATTCCATATGACAAGAGCCACCAGAAAAGCTTACATTCTATATTGAGTAAACACCTGCCAGAAGAACTTACAATCTAGATGTCGCTGATACTTGCTAGCAGAGTTTACAAATCCGCTTGTAGTCCACGCCTGCCAGAAGAGCTTACAGTCTATTTGCAGTCCACACCCCCATCAGCAGAATTTACAGTCTGCAAGTAGCTGATAGCTGCCAGCAGAGCTTACACTCTACATGTAGCCGATACCTGCCAGCAGAGCTTACACTCTACATGTAGCCAATACCCGCCAGCAAAGCTTACAACCTAGATGTAGCTGATACCTGCCAGCAGTTAATCGGGTTCTCAGAAATCTGGAAAGGAGTGAATCAAACAGATGGGATATACAGGCGTCCATACTGCAAAGCTTATTGTGTCCACAGGGGCCATATAAGGGCCATACACCCTGCGAAGTGCTGTGACTAAAGTGCTACAGACAAGCTGCATTTTGGTGGCAATAAACGGGCGGTCAGGTGAGGAGTTTCTTGTGGTCGCTGTTGAGGGTCTGTTCGGCTCGTGGTGATGCCGGTGTGGCACTGGTGGAGTCCGTAGAGCGCAGGGGGTACTTGGTGTGAGGCTGGGACAGCACACAGTACCACAGGAAGATGAACAGGCCTGGCAGGAGAAGACAGGAGAAAATTAGAGTATTCCATCAAAGTGTTCAGTTATATCTGATAAAAGCCTGTTAATCCTGCCAGAAATCCAGAGCTGTTCTCTATTATTCCTAAGAGTTCCTCTAGTGCTTATTCAGGATTACAGAACAATCAGCCTTTATATTGTAGAGACCTATATAGAGATCTACAAGTGGGGTGATTGAGTAGTTTAGCAACTTGGAAGGCTGAGGCCACTCCGTCTTGTCACCCACAACCAGACTTAAAATGGAATCCTGACCTTTACACAAAGAATGTGGGTAGGAAGGTATTTTATTGGAGAAGGTGGGCCTTGTCAGAACCAGGAACTATGAAGGGGAGATTTCACCACTAAGAGCCCAGCACATGACTCCGTCAGACTCAAGTAACTGGAAAAATCACTTTTGGGTGGACTTGACTTTTAACTAAATATAGTTTTGCCTGAGCACAGTCAGCCTCATTTATTAAAGTGAAGGAAGAACTGCAATTTACCAATCTTTGTCCAACTTGCATGGGAAGAACAAACTGAAGATCCTAATGGGGGTGTTAGAGACAGACAAGTCCTTCTTTGGAAGGAGGGGCAGTGGCACATACCTTGTAGGGCATTCACAATACTGAAGGCATATTGGACTGGCAGGTAAAAGATCCCAAAGGAGAAGAAGGCCAGACCCCAGGACAAGCCCAGCATGCAGCTCAGCCCCAGCAGAGTGACGCAGCGACGGACTTCCTCCTGGCGTGAATGAGGAGACAGGCGGAATACATGCCTTGTCATGGCAACAAGCATACACAGGTTAAAGAAGAGGACCATAGCAAAAAATCCCAAATTCAGCACCTGGTGGATAATGGGCTTTGTCAGCCAACACCTGCCAAGAAAAGGAGTGACATGGCAGTACTGGAAGGTGGCAGGGGACATGGGGAAAACAGCAACATGGTAAATAAAGGGACATGGAGAACAAAGACAGAGAGAGCAAGAGGACAGAGAGACTGAGGGGTCACAGAGAACAAGGAGACATGAAAATAAGGAGACACGGAGAATGAGGGGCCACAAAGAATGAGGGGAGGTGAAGAACAAGGGAACATGAAGAATGAGGGAACATGGCAAATGAGGTGACATGGAGCATGAGGGGGCACAGAGCACAAGGGGATCAAGAGAATGAGGAACATGGAAAATGAAGGGACATGGAGAAAAAAAACACAATATGCGAAACGAGGGGACTCTGAGAACAAGAAGATTGAGAGAAGGAGGAACATGGGAAATGAGGGGACTCTGAGAACAAGGAAATTGAGAGAAGGAGGAACATGGAGAATGAGGTGGATCAGAAAATGAGGAAAAAATAAAAAAATGATGGGACACACAGAATGGGGAGGTAAAGAAAGCAAAGGGGCAATGAGAACAAGATCAAGAGAATAAGGAACAAGGAGAATGAGAGGAATAGAGAATGAGGAGATAAAGAGAATGAGGGGGAACAAAAACCAAGGGGACACGGACTACTAGGAGATAACAAGAACAAGGAGATGCAGAGGACAAGGAGAGATGGGAGAATTTATGTTCTCACTTACATGGCAGCTGTGGAGTTTTGGGATGATGGACGCTCCACATTGATGTTGTATATCCCATAATTGTTTGGATCTATCAGCAGTACAGACGCAACCATCAGAACTGGGACACCTGCAGACATGACATTTCTCAATTATTACTGTGATCGATCTTCATATAGCTCCAACATATTATGTAGGTTTTCACCATCCAACATGAAAATGTTCTCGATGTACATGATGAGGCAAATACAGAACAAGTCATGTGAATTGTGTGCACACAGGAGGACTCACCCCAGCCCAGGATAGTTAGTCTCCAGGTGGTGATAGCGGAGGACACGAAGACCTTTACCACCAGCCGGTAGAGATTGAACCCCTCGATGGCCATCCACGTGAAGAGGCAGAGCAGGGAGAAGTGCAGAGCAATGGCAGAAACACGGCATACTACTACATCTTCCATACCACCCAGCAGTGCGCTTGTTATGAAAGCGACATCCAACAGCAACAGCGCCATCAGCAGGTTCATGTGGATCTGCAGTGTAGGGTTTGTCTTATTCTTCCTGGGGTGCAAAATGGAAACACGCAGTTTAAAACACAATGTATATTATATAACACGCAACACAAACTGTATAATATACAGCACAGTACAACATAACACAAAAAAAAACTACAGTACCCAAAGTATAATATATAACACACAACAACACACAATATAAATATACAACACACAATGTACAGTATAATAATACAACACATAACACACACTGTATAAATATACAACACACCATGTAATACTCAATGTATAATATACAACACATAACACACACTGTATAATATACAACACACCATGTAATACTCAATGTATAATATACAACACATAACACACACTGTATAATATACAACACACCATGTAATACTCAATGTATAATATACAACACATGACACACACTGTATAATATACAACACACCATGTAATACTCAATGTATAATATACAACACATAACACACACTGTATAATATACAACACACCATGTAATACTCAATGTATAATATACAACACATGACACACACTTTATAATATACAACACACCATGTAATACTCAATGTATAATATACAACACACAATGACACACAATTTATAATTTACAATGAATAGCATAACATATAACACACCATGTACAGCACAGTACAACAAACCATGTATGATATACAATATACAATACATAACATACTGTACAATGTATAATATACAACATACCATGTAATGCACAATGGATAATATACAACACACAACATTCATTGTACAACATTTGGTTATAAATATGACACAGAGGGGTAGAACACATGACATGGGGGAACATAAGTGTGGCTGTATATATGACATTGGGGGGACATGGGTGGGGTGGTAAACAGTATATGACATGAAGGGGACACAGGTGGGGTGGTATTTATGACATAGGGGGGCACAGGTGGGTTGGTATATTTGACATTAGGCGGACACCGGTGGGGTGGTATACATGACATGGGGGATAGTAGTGAGGTGGCATATATGACACTGGGGGAACACGGGTGAAGTAGTATACAGTAAATAACATGGGGGGACATGGGTTGGGTGGTACCTGGAACAGCAAATCCATGCAACAGTAAAGGCACAGGACAGGGCAGAAATGGCGCATCCAGCAAAGGTGATGGCTGTCAGTGACACAAGATGAACCTCCGATATCAACTGGCTGGAGACTTGCTGCCAACAGAAGGAGGATTATATAATAATACATATATGATAGGTACACATATTACTACATCTGACTCCACTCTCTGGTGTTATCTACTCACCATCAGCACTGCAAAGTAAGTGAGGTGGTTACAGTGACATTCGGTCTGACGCTCAGCGGCCACTGTTCTGCATCCGGCCGTGTTCCACTCCTCCTTCAACTCTGCAGAAGACACACAACAAGTTTCCATGTATCATATCCCAATGACCAGGGGCGGACTGACAACTCATGGGGCCCCCGGGCAATAGGGGATCATGGGGCCCCATGTCCTTGCCCAAACTCAAAAAAGCCTATGAAAAAGGTACCAGGGGTATCTCATGGGGCCCCCTACTGACCCCGGGCCCTCGGGCAGTGTCCGAGTTTCCAAATGGTCAGTCCGCCCCTGCCAATGACTTAAGCATAACACCCTTCACTGGAAGCACAGGAACCCTATACCCCAAGCCCTGACTGGCACTGTCCCTGGAGTTCATCTCACAGCTGGTTTTAATATTAAACATTACTTGAGGGGGCTCACTGAACACACTGCAGTCCTAAAGCCAATGCCAGACCCTTCAGAGCCAGAAGAAATCACAAGATTCAGCCACTGTATGGGGATACCCCTTTAAATGCATATCGCATAGTGCAAAGAGCTGTAATGGTGCCACTCCGTGTCTTCACCATGCGCTTCCCTCCCCTCCCGGGCCCCTGACCAGTGCACAGATTTCTTCTGGACAGGGAATATATGATATGGACAGAACATGGAATGGGAATTATGGAATACACAAAACACTGCTTACCGTCCCAGAATACGCACAGCGGAGACTTCGGCTCCTGGAAGGACACAAGAAAAGAGACACCATTGTCATCAGCAAAAAATGAGTTCTACAGGGAAGGTGGGGGGAGGTTAATATTTCTTTGAAGGGGGCATTATTTTTGTAATAATTCCTTTCCTTATTCCCCCATTTCTGAGTTCCTGTGCAGATTTTGTGGCCAGATAGAAATCTCCGGCAGGCATGAGCTGTGTCCTCGGATCAACTCTGCGGTGATACCAGGAGAGGAAGTTACTTCTATGGTGGCAGAACAGGAAATCCATTCCTTCTATAAAACATTGACCTGCCACTTGCCTGATGGGAAACTATATACTGGCATATATATTATTATTATACAGGATTTATATAGCGCCAACAGTTTTGCTCAGCACTTTACATTATAACGGGAGACAGTACAGCAACAATACAGTTCAATACAAGAGGGATAGGAGGGCCTGATCCTCGGAGCTTACAATCTAGGATAACACGCTCCCTTTGTACCTGAGACATGGGAGAGTCTCTCTCTCGGGCTGTGCTGATACAGGGCTATTCTTATAAACCATTTAGCAGGTCCTCTGTCTGCTGTACTCTCTACCTGTGCAGATTGTATGATAGAATTTCCACTCCACGCTCTCTGGCCTCATGTTTCAGTTTCATACTCAGTCACATCTCTTCTGACTGTCACCAGTCCCCAGGGACCTCAGAGGAAGCTGGGCTACCAGAACCTGCAAGCATTGCAACCCTGGCCACAAAAGCCAGCAACATTTTCCATGAGACTGAACAAACACTGAGGGTGACAACTGCAACCACCAGCAAGTATAGATCCGAACTAAGATTCTACACAAGAGGGAGAGGAGATACCTGGCATAGGTGATATCTTATAAAGAGGGGATACCTGGCACAGGTGATAACGGAGAAAGAGGAGATACCTGGCACAGGTAATAAAGGAGAAGGAGGAGATACCTGGCACGGGTGATAAAGGAGAAGGAGGAGATACCTGCACAGGTAATAAAGGAGAAGGAGGAGATACCTGCACAGGTAATAAAGGAGAAGGAGGAGATACCTGGCACGAGTGATACGGACTAAAGACAAGATACCTGATATCAGTGATAGAGTATAGAAGGGACATACCTGGCAAAGGTGACACAGACTAGAGATAGATACCTGGTATAGGTGATATAGTATAGAGAGGGGATACCTGGCACAGGTGGTAAAGGAGATAGAGGAGATAAATGGCACAGGTGATACAGGCTAGAGATAAAATACCTTGCTAGGTAATATAGACTAGAGATGGGATACTTGGTACAAATGATACAGACTAGAGATGAGCTACCTTGCCAGGCGATACAGACTAGAGATGAGCTACCTTGCCAGGCGATACAGACTAGAGATGAGCTACCTTGCCAGGCGATACAGACTAGAGATGAGCTACCTTGCCAGGCGATACAGACTAGAGATGAGCTACCTTGCCAGGCGATACAGACTAGAGATGAGCTACCTTGCCAGGCGATACAGACTAGAGATGAGCTATCTGGTACACCTGATATACAGTATTATAAAGATAGGATACCTAGCATAGATGAGACAGTATACAGAGGGTATTTTTGGCACACTTGATACAGACTGGAGATGAGGTACCTGCTATAGGTTGTACAGTATAGATGGGGATAACTGGCACAGGTGATACAGTCTTGAAATGGGATACCTGGTACAGCATAGATAGAGAATACCTGGTATAGATGACACAGTATAGATGGGGATACCTGGTACAGGTAATACAGACTAGAGATGGGGTATCTGGTACAAATGATACAGACTAGAGATGAGATACCGTTCCAGGCAATACAGACTAGAGATGAGATACCTGGCACAGGTGATACAGACTAGAGATAAGATATCAGGTACACCTGATATACAGTATTATAGAGAGGGGATACCTAGCATAGATGAGACAGTATATAAAGGTTATATTTGGCTCAGTTGATACAGACTGGAGATGGGGATACCTGGTACAAATGATACAGACTACTGTAGAGATGAGATACCTTGCCAGGTGATACAGACTAGAGATGAAATACCCGACACAGGTGATACAGACTATAGAGTTGGGATACCTGGTACAAATGACACGGACTAGTAAAGGGAGACCTTGCCAGGTAATATAGACTAGAGATAGGACACCTGGTACAGGTAATAAAGACTAGAGATAGGACACCTGGTACAGGTAATAAAGACTAGAGATAGGACACCTGGTACAGGTAATAAAGACTAGAGATGGGATACCTGGCACAGGTGATACAGACTAGAGATGAGATATCTGGTACACCTGATATACAGTATTATAGAGAGGGGATACCTAGCATAGATGAGACAGTATACAGTTGATAAAGAGACAGGCTCAGTTGATAAAGACTAGAGATGTGGTACCTGGTATAGGTGATACAGTATAGATGGGGATACCTGACACAGGTGATACAGACTAGAGTTGGGATACCTGGTACAAATGATACAGACTAGAAATGGGATATCTTGCCAGATAATACAGACTAGAGATAGTATACCTGGTATAGGTAATACAGACTAGAGATAGTATACCTGGTATAGGTAATACAGACTAGAGATTGGATACCTGGTATAGGTGACACAGGATAGAGAAGGGATACCTGGTAAAGATGATACAGACTAGAGATGAGATATCTGGTATAGGTGATCCACTATACAGTGGGGATACCTTGTAGGGTGATACAGACTAGAGATAAGATATCTAGTATAGGTGATACAGACTAGAGATTGGATACCTGGCACATGTGTTACAGACTAGAGATGAGATATCTGGTACATCTGATATGGTATAGAGAGGAGATACCTGGCATAGATGTGACAATATACAGAGAGGATATTTGGCATAGTTGAAACAGTCTGGAGATGTGGTACCTGGTACAGGTGACACAGTATAGATGGGGATACCTGGTACAGGCGATAAAGTCTAGAGATGGCAAACCTGGTACAGCAAATATAGGGAATACCTGGTATAGGTGACACAGTATAGATGTGGATACCTGATACAGGTGATACAAATAAGAGATGGGACACCTGGTACAGTACAGATAGGCAATAACTGGTATAGGTGATACAGACTAGTGATGGGCTACTTGGTAGGGGTGATACAGTATACAGAGGGGGTACCTGGAACATCTGACACAGACTAATGATATTACCTGGGACAGGTGATACATGATATAGAGGGGGGTATTTGGCACAGGTAATACAAGATAACATTACACAATATATAATGACATTTCTGATGGTGAATACGTGAAGGATAATCTGTACCTTTATGGGTTCATGTGGAAAGGTAATTACTATATCTTCTGATAGGTTAGAGACAACTGTGTCCTGCAGGGTGACTCCGAGCACCAGGTCTCCTAGGATGGAGATGTTTGCGTCATTCTGTGTGGACAGGAATGTTATAATTATTGTCATATACAGATGACATCACGTCCCAGTATATGATACGTAGTTGGATAATGTATGTATAGGGTATAGGACTGTATCGTAAGACTTTGTGTGGTAGGACAGGAATAACAAAATGGTGGATGATTCACCTGGAAGATGGTGTGGCCCTGGATATGGACAACATGGAGCCTCTTGGCAGTCCCGTCTGGCAACTTCTCCAGCAGTTGGTTAGGAAGACTCAAAGAGACCCCCAGACTCTCCGGAATGGACTTGAGCTAAAGAAAGAAGAACTTCTTAGTACTTAGGGATAGAAATGGCCAATATATGCAGGATATATGCATGGAGGTGATATAGGTGGTGTGAAAGAGATGGGGGCAGTATGGAAGAGATGGGACCGTAAGGAGAAGGTGGGGCATTTTAAAGGATATGGGAGCAGAATGAAGCAAGGGGGTAGTATGGAGGACAGGGGTGCAGTGTAGATTGAATGAAGGCTGTATAGGGAATAAGGGTGCAGCGTAGATGAAATGAAGGCTGTATAGGGAATAGGGGTGCAGTGTAGATGAAATGAAGGCTGTATAGGGGGTAGGGGTGCAGTATGCAGGAGATGGGGACTGTATGGAGGAGGTGGGAAAGTATGGGGGAGATAGAAGCAGTATAGAGGAGGTGGAAGCAGTATTGAGTAGAAGAGACCAGTATGCTGGAGATGGGGGCTGTATGGAGGAGGTAGAATAATATGGAGCAAATGTTGGCTGTATGGAGGAAATAGAGTCAGTATGGAGGAGAGGGGGAGCGGTATGTAGGAGATGAGGACTATATGCATGAAGTGGGACAGTATGAAGGAGCTAGGGGCAGTGTATAGGAGATGGAGCCAGTATAGAGGATAGGGAGACAGTGAGCTGGAGATGGAGGACGGATGGAGGAGGTAGGGCAGTATGGAAAAGATGGGGTAACAAGAGGAAGGGCAATACCATGAGGACTGGGAATTCGGACTGCTCATCATTGTCCGGCAGAATTTGGGGTCGTTTGTGGTCACCCTGTCACTATCACCCTCAGTGTTTGTTCTCACCACATCACTGGAGTCCAGGTTATACACTCCTGCCCGCAGTGCCCCTGTCCCGAAGTTATGACTCTTCCCATCAATCTGAACTTTGGACAGAGCTGTATCAATCCAGTTGCGCATCCTGAAACAAGACCGGTGTTGGTTTAATTACATGGAAGGATGATGCAAAAGTGTACCTCCTGCTAACAATAGCTGGCATACCCATCATATCCCAAGAACTAATAAAATGTACAAATATTAACTCCGGAATAAGAATGAATTGTTCTAGTAGAGGCCTGAAAAACCAGAACCATTATCAATGAACAACGATCATCCTGCTGGAACTAAGTCCATTGGATGCCATTTTGTACATAGAATGAGAGCACACACTGGGGGGGACAGCACAGGATAGGAGCACACACTGGGGGGGGACAGCACAGGATAGGAGCATACACTGGGGGAACAGCACAGGATAGGAGCACACACTGGGGGGGACAGCACAGGATAGGAGCACACACTGGGGGGGACAGCACAGGATAGGAGCACACACTGGGGGGACGGCACAGGATAGGAGCACACACTGGGGGGGGACAGCACAGGATAGGAGCATACACTGGGGGAACAGCACAGGATAGGAGCACACACTGGGGGGGGGGCAGCACAGGATAGGAGCATACACTGGGGGAACAGCACAGGATAGGAGCACACACTGGGGGGGACAGCACAGGATAGGAGCACACACTGGGGGGGACAGCACAGGATAGGAGCACACACTGGGGGGACGGCACAGGATAGGAGCACACACTGGGGGGGGCACAGGATAGGAGCACACACTGGGGGGGGGGGGCGCATAGGATAGGAGCACACACTGGGGGGGGGGCACAGGATAGGAGCACACACTGGGGGGACACAGCACAGGATAGGAGCACACACTGGGGGGACAGCACAGGATAGGAGCACACACTGGGGGGGACAGCACAGGATAGGAGCACACACTGGGGGGGGCACAGGATAGGAGCACACACTGGGGGGACAGCACAGGATAGGAGCACACACTAGGGGGGACAGCACAGGATAGGAGCACACACTGGGGAGGGCACAGGATAGGAGCACGCACTGGGGGGACGGCACAGGATAGAAGCACACACTGGGGGATGGCACAGGATAGGAGCACACACTGGGGGGGGACAGCACAGGATAGGAGCACACACTGGGGGGGGGCACAGGATAGGAGCACACATTGGGGGGGACAGCACAGGATAGGAGCACACACTGGGGGGGGCACAGGATAGGAGCACACACTGGGGGGGGGGGACAGCGCAGGATAGGAGCACACACTGGGGGGGGGGGGCACAGGATAGGAGCACACACTTGGGGGACAGCACAGGATAGGAGCACACACTGGGGGGACGGCACAGGATAGGAGCACACACTGGGGGGACGGCACAGGATAGGAGCACACACTGGGGGGGACGGCACAGGATAGGAGCACACACTGGGGGGACGGCACAGGATAGGAGCACACACTGGGGGGGACGGCACAGGATAGGAGCACACACTGGGGGGACGGCACAGGATAGGAGCACACACTGGGGGGACGGCACAGGATAGGGGCACACACTGGGGGGGACGGCACAGGATAGGAGCACACACTGGGGGGACGGCACAGGATAGGAGCACACACTGGGGAGGACGGCACAGGATAGGAGCACACACTGGGGGGACGGCACAGGATAGGAGCACACACTGGGGGGGACGGCACAGGATAGGAGCACACACTGGGGGGGCAGCACAGGATAGGAGCACACACACTGGGGGGACAGCACAGGATAGGAGCACACACTGGGGGGGAGGGCACAGGACAGGACAGAGCACACACTGGGGGGACGGCACAGGATAGAAGCACACACTGGGGGGACGGCACAGGATAGGGGCACACACTGGGGGGGACGGCACAGGATAGGAGCACGCACTGGGGGGAGGGCACAGGACAGGAGCACACACTGCGGGGGACGGCACAGGATAGGAGCACACACTGGGGGGGACAGCACAGGATAGGAGCACACACTGGGGGGGACAGCACAGGATAGGAGCACACACTGGGGGGGCAGCACAGGATAGGAGCACACACACTGGGGGGGACGGCACAGGATAGGAGCACACACTGGGGGGGCAGCACAGGATAGGAGCACACACTGGGGGGACAGCACAGGATAGGAGCACACACTGGGGGGAGGGCACAGGACAGGAGCACACACTGGGGGGACGGCACAGGATAGAAGCACACACTGGGGGGACGGCACAGGATAGGGGCACACACTGGGGGGGACGGCACAGGATAGGAGCACGCACTGGGGGGAGGGCACAGGACAGGAGCACACACTGCGGGGGACGGCACAGGATAGGAGCACACACTGGGGGGGACAGCACAGGATAGGAGCACACACTGGGGGGGACAGCACAGGATAGGAGCACACACTGGGGGGGGGCAGCACAGGATAGGAGCACACACTGGGGGGGACGGCACAGGATAGGAGCACACACTGCGGGGGACGGCACAGGATAGGAGCACACACTGCGGGGGACGGCACAGGATAGGAGCACACACTGGGGGGGACAGCACAGGATAGGAGCACACACTGGGGGGGACAGCACAGGATAGGAGCACACACTGGGGGGGCAGCACAGGATAGGAGCACACACTGGGGGGACAGCACAGGATAGGAGCACACACTGGGGGGGGCACAGGATAGGAGCACACACTGGGGGGGGGGGCACAGGATAGGAGCACACACTGTGGGGGGGGGGGGGGGGGTCACAGGATAGGAGCACACACTGGGGGGGGGGGGGTCACAGGATAGGAGCACACACTGGGGGGACAGCACAGGATAGGAGCACACACTGGGGGGGCAGAGAATGAGACAGCACACTGGACGGCGCAGGAAGACAGCGCAATGGGGGGGGGGGCACAGTACAGGATGAGAGTGCACACAGGGTGGGGGAGCACAGGAGAGGGGCACACCATGGGGGGGGGGGGCACAGAATCAGAGCACACACTGGGGAGAGGACAGGATGCGCATTCATTCCTCATATCTCAGAGCTCGCGTTGGCGGAGCTCCATTTTGACTGCTAACAATAACAGAACACTCACAGACGTCCGTCCGTCCCCGCTGAATCCCATCTTCTCCAGGTATCTCCCCACCTGAGACATGTCGTGCTCCAACAGCTTTGCATCTACGAGAAAAGCAGAAGATGGTCATATTACAGGAAGTGAGGGAGTCACCTGGACAGGAAGTGAGGGGAAATCTTTCCAGTGGGGACACAGACAACAACAAAAACCTGACAGAGGTTCTGACCTTCCCTCATTCACTCATAATATGCTAGAAGTCCTGGCTGGAGTCAGCTTTTGTTATGTCCACATATTGTACTGGAGGGGGGGGGGGGGGTGCTGAACTTGGCATTCTTCCTGAACACAGAAATCCAGGTGGTGGAGGATTCACCTCTGAATCCAGAACATTGGGAGACTCATCCACACCTTCTATATCGTCCCCATGGGAGGGTTTTAATAATGGGGTGTTGGGTGTATAAAATATTATATATAGATATAAATACACAGAACATCACAAAGATCTACTCTCTGTCCTGTCTCTACTGTGTGGTCATGGGACTGATCAAAGTCAATGTAGTAAAAACTGGCAGTGTGGTGTCATGTGATTGCTCAGTGTAGTGAATGCTGGCAGTGTGGTGTCATGTGATCTCTCAGTGTAGTTGGCAGTGTGGTGCCATGTGATCACTTAGTGTACTGAATGTTGGCAGTGTGGTGTCGTGATCGCTCAGTGTAGTGAACGCTGGCAGTACGATGTCATGTGATCGCTCAGTGTAGTTGCCAATGTGGTGTCATGTGATCGTTCAGTGTAGTGAACGCTGGCAGTACGATGTCATGTGATCGCTTAGTGTAGTTGCCAATGTGGTGTCATGTGATCGCTCAGTGTAGTAAACGCTGGCAGTGTGATGTCATGTGATCGCTTAGTGTAGTTGGCAATGTGATGTCATGTGATCGCTTAGTGTAGTTGCCAATGTGGTGTCATGTGATCGCTCAGTGTAGTGAATGCTGGCAATGTGGTGTCATGTGATCACTTAGTGTAGTTTGACAATGTGGTGTCACGTGATCACTCAGTGTAGTAAACGCTGACATTGGAATGACATTCTAAGAAGAACAGGCAGCGTGTTCCTGCCAGTAAATGACAATCCTTGGATAACAATGGACGGCGTGTGAGTCTCTGTCTGGGATTGGAGATTCTATTTTGGGTTTGATGACAAACAAAGCCGTCATTCATTAATCCATAGAGAAGGCGGCATGGCTGCCAATGTGTCACGCGCTCCCCCCCCCCCCAGGATTCACACTGCTCACCCTGCCAAACACCCTGCAGCCCTTCCTCACATTCTTCCCACACACAATGTCCTGGTACATGGAAGGATGTGGGAGGGCCGCAGGAATTCCATCTTCAGGTGCCGGACTTCTCCCCATGTGACCCTCAGAGCTGGCGTATAGCGGGCCCCTCATTACCCCGGGCTTCAAATTACCATGGGTTTAAAAATACCCCCAGACCCTACATTACCCCCAGACCCCACATTACCCCCAGACCCCACATTACCCCCCCGACCCCACATTACCCCTGGCCCAGGTGCGCTGCCAATGAGACGGTTAACAGTCGGCACATCTGAGAATTGTGACTTTCTGTGGGAACGCGGCGTTATCTGACAGACGCACATTGACTTGGTGTGTTGGCAGGAAGCGAGCAGACAAGAGCTGCCAGTAAAGTGACATTTCTTTCGGGGGAGGGGGGGAAGCAGCTGTGAATACCACTCCTAGAGGAAAGCTGTAATGGTTTGTGGTCAGTATGACTATCGGTATTGTACATTCAGAACATATGAAAGGCTGGAGCCATGTGCGCTATCCCTACAGACAGCAGGCGGCACAGTACCTTGCTTTCAAGTCCCTTATGTCTGATTGACATGTTGGAATTGATCTGATAAGGGTGGAGTCTCTGCTGGGGTGACTCCTGTAATAAACGTGAAAAGGAGAGCACAGCGCCCCCTGCTGGATGGATAAACTACTACACTATAAGCAATATGATATGCAGTATATGGTCAGTATTACACACCAACTGTCAGCATCCCACGGACAGAATTAAACACCAATTGGCAAGAATGACACAGCAGCTGTCAGCATTACACATGGTCTGTCAGCTTTACACACCAACCATCACAATTACACATCAACTGTCAGTGGCTGACTGTCAGAATTACACATTAACTGTCAGTGGCTGACTGTCAGAATTACACATCAACTGTCAGTGGCTGACTGTCAGAATTACACATCAACTGTCAGTGGCTGACTGTCAGAATTACACATCAACTGTCAGGGGCTGACTGTCAGAATTACACATCAACTGTCAGTGGCTGACTGTCAGAATTACACATCAACTGTCAGTGGCTGACTGTCAGAATTACACATCAACTGTCAGTGGCTGACTGTCAGAATTACACATCAACTGTCAGGGGCTGACTGTCAGAATTACACATCAACTGTCAGGGGCTGACTGTCAGAATTACACATCAACTGTCAGCGTGTGACTGTCAGAATTACACATCAACTGTCAGCGTGTGACTGTTAGAATTACACATCAACTGTCAGTGTCTGACTGTCAGAATTACACACCAACTGTCAGTGTGTGACTGTCAACATTACACATCAACTGTCAGCCTGTGACTGTCAACATTACACATCAACTGTCAGCGTGTGGCTGTCAGAATTACACATCAACTGTCAGCGTGTGACTGTTAGAATTACACATTAACAGTCAGCGTGTGACTGTTAGAATTACACATCAACTGTCAGTGTCTGACTGTCAGAATTACACACCAACTGTCAGCGTGTGAATGTCAGAATTACACATCAACTGTCAGCGTGTGACTGTCAGAATTACACATCAACTGTCAGTGTGTGACTGTCAGAATTACACATCAACTGTCAGTGTCTAACTGTCAGAATTACACACCAACTGTCAGCATCCAATTGACAGTATCACACACCAACTGTCCGCAATACACACCAACTGCCTGGAGTTTGCACTCCTACACTCCAAAGACATGCTGGTAGGTTAGTTGGATCCTGTCTAAGGCTCGGTTCACACCTATGCAGTTTGCGTTTGATCCGTTTCTGCAGTGCATTTTGTGGTTTTTTTTTTTTCGTATTGCTAGACAGATTAAGCACTTGCCCTGCTGAGGATTTCCCCCCCCTTCCTGACTAGGCCATTTGTTGTGTTGTTGCGCTGCATTACTTTAACTAAATATTGCGCAGTCATGCAACACTGCACCCAGGGGCGGATTGACCGTTTGGAAACTCAGGCACTGCCCGAGGGCCTGGGGTCAGTAGGGGGCCCCATGAGATGCCCCTGGGACCTTTTTCATAGGCTTTTTTGAGTTTGGGCAAGGACACAGGGGCCCCATGATCCCCTATTGCCCAGGGGCCCCATGAGTTGTCAGTCCACTCCGGTTGCACCCAAATGAAATGTAGGTCCTTTTTTCCCACGAATTGAGCTTTCTTTTGGTGGTATTTGATCACCTGTGCGTTTTGGGTTTTTTTGCACAATAAAAAAAAGACCGACAATTTTGAGAAAAAAACAATATTTTGGACTTTTTGCTATTAAACATGTCCATAAAAAAAAATAAAAAATAATTATATTTCATCATAAATTTAGGCCAAAATGTATTCTGGGACATGTCTTTGCTAAAAAAAAAATCCCAATACGTGTAAATTAATTGGTTTACGTGAAAGTTATAGCGTCTACAAATGGCGGTATAGATACTGGAATTTTTTAAAAAATTTTTTTTACTAGTAATCAAGTGCTGGTAATACTTGTGAGCTAATATGGTGAAATTCAAAAGTGCTTAAATCAATCAATCAAAAATGAATGCACATGTGGGTCGCTCCTTACACTAACTCATAAATAGTGCTGACACCTCAATCCAAATATTAATAATGGTGCTGCTCGCTCCCGTGCTATTAATAGTGTTTACCCAACAGAACGTGGTGACGTCAGAGCCCCTCCCCTACGCGTTACGCCACAGGGTCACCTGGCTTCATCAGGGGGAATTGAGAATCAATTGAGAATCAATTCCTCCCCTGATGAAACCACGTGACCCTGTGGCGTAACGCGTAGGGGAGGGGCTCTGACATCACCACGTTCTGTCGGCTTGTCTATGGCGAGTATAGGAAGTGTGCAGAAGCACACACAAAGGCTTTCTATCACAGGCGCATTTTAACTGTTTTATATGTGAGTGGGACTAATATTTGAACAATAAAATGTTTAAAAGGATAAGGCACTATTTCTTCTTCTTTTCTTTGATAACATACATATGGAGCTCTGGAGGGGATATAACGAGAGATAGACCCCTGGAGGTGAGATATCCATCCATATCCATTACAGGGAGCATCATTTTGGAGAATCACCAGGTGGATTATCAATATGTTGCCACGAGGAATCACCTGTGAAGGATTATTGGAGCAGGAATAGTTACATCTGTCCTTTCAGGACAAAAAAAGCGATTTTAGCCTAAATTTATTGGGCTAAAAAGGAGGTAAGCGCATAATATAGCAATATTCATTGTTTTTTTTTGTTTGTTTTTTTCACACATTGGATGTCACAAGTTTTTTCCATATATTAAGAGGACTGTTCACTTAATATGGACATTTTTTGAGGTTATAATTGTTTATTTGGTTTATTGGATTCCATTGAGGAAATTTTATAATTTTGTTTTGGTCATCATATTTTATATATTTTTTGGTTTAGGTTTTGTTAATAATCAGGTTTATAATTTGATCACGAACACAAGTCACAGATGAATATGTTTTGTTTTAACCATTTATTTTATTATCACATTATATTATTATGATTCTCAATTGATTCTCAATTCCCCCTGATGAAGCCACGTGACCCTGTGGCGTAACACGTAGGGGAGGGGCTCTGACGTCACCACGTTCTGTTGGGTAAACACTATTAATAGCACGGGAGCGCAGCACCATTATTAATATTTGGATTTTTTTACTAGTAATGGTGGTGATCAGCGACTTATTGCGGGACTGCGGGCCCATGTAGCTGTTCTGGGGCCCAGAGTAGGAGGGGACCCATTAGATTCAGCCAATCAGCTGTGGCCATTCACATGATCCT